ACATATCGATATGAACATTAGGATCAGAGTTAGTAAGTGTTAAAGGCAGGTCGTTAATGTAAATAGTGAACAAGAGGGGGCCTAATGTTGATCCCTGAGGGACACCATTAGAGCAAGGACTGGGAGAATATAATGTGTGACTAAAAAGAACATGCTGAGATCTAGAAGAAAGGTAACTTTGTAACCAGGTGATTGTTAGAGGAGAGAAACCAAAATATGGTAATTTAGCAATTAGTGTATTATGATCAACAGTGTCGAAAGCTTTTTTAAGTTCGATGAATAGAGTGCCAGTAAGATTTTTATTGTTAGTTTCATGAAGCCATGAATCAAGGGTAGTAGTCAGTGCAGTAAGAGTTGAGTGTTTAGGTCTGAATCCAGATTGAAAATGAGAAATAAGTTTGTTAGAATCAAGGTAGGTATATATTTGTGAAGCAACAACTTAACCATTTCGCCACAACATGCCTCAAATATTGCCTTAAAAGGGGTGTCCGAAGGAAGGGGATCTACTGTACCTATAAGACAAACAAGTCTCTTCGTCTAATATAACACCTGGAGTATTTGCTTAAACCTATGGTAGCCAGTACAAGTATGTACGTGTGTTTACTGTGATGACTGAAGACAAGTCTCCTTGTCTTGTCTAGTACCTGTAATAACACCAGAAGTATTTGCTTAAACCTATGGTAGCCAGTTTGTTCTTGTTTTTATTTTGATGGCTGAAGACATGTTTGTCTTTCTAAATTTTCAAAATCAAATTCTACCCTATCAATTATATTTATTATTCTTTACCATACTGTTACCTTTGAATCATTTCAGTATGATAAACCATCTCCATTGGTAACACCTGATGCACTAGTACCATTGAAACAAAATCTTGATATTATCACAAGTCAAGCAGAACGTTACTACTATCACTCTGACTTCAGAAGTACATACGCTATTACTAGCAGGTAAGTTTAATATTTGTTTTTATATACCTAATACATAGATTCTAGGCATTTGAGAAGTGGGCAATTCATAGTACTATTCCCCTTAAAAAAAAAAAAACTAAAGTTTCCGTCACACTACAAACTTATTGATCTGCTGACCCAACTTGGTTTCACTGCAAATGGAGATGTAAATGTGGTAAGAAAACGTAACATATTGTAGCAGTGGATTCACACAAGAAATGCTTACATTTATCACTTATGTTAGACTAGGCAATATATGTCTTGTTTCAGACTGCTGATTCTATATGCGTTGAAGTGATTGAACTGTCAAAGGTATCAATGGGCAGAGAAGCGATTGTTATGTTAAATAACAGAAACATTGCTAGACACGTTACTGCTGTTTTTGGGATAGTGAATTGAATTTTAAAAGTTTGTATGGAATTGGCACACGCACAGAACAATAAAATCGACAGAAATACATTTCAGAGTGGAGTAATGGCTGGTGCACTCTGCAAGTGGAAAACAATAGTTTATTGAGTATTTAGCATGATGTACCATATCAAGTGATAATTATTAATTATTAGTATTATTAACACATGGAAACAGATTGCAATAGACGTCTGTAAATTTGCAAGTAGAAGAAAGAAATTTTCATCTATTCTCTGTCAGTTTTATGACTTTTGAGCAAAATTGCTGCACAAACCACTGATCTACACGATACTAACTGTGCTCTATTAGAAGGTTTTAAAACCTGTTTAACTAAACCATCTTGGTTAAACTTTCAGTTCCAGATTGAAAGATAGCATTGTGGGCATATCATTAACCCTTGAGCAGAAAGTGAGGAGTGTATTGACACACAGTTGTAAATTACAACCCTGGTATTCAAAATATTTGATACAATGACCTTACTATATTCCAGTTTCAGGACCCAAACCTCTGTTGAACTATCTAATATTGTCCCATTTACAGTTTTGATTTCAATTAAGTAGTAAAATTAACTTAAGAATAGACCAGATATTATCATCACAGATGTAACTTGAAGAACATGTAAATGCTGCAATCATTCGGAAAAGTGGAAGTTACGTTTTATGTAGGTTCATCCTGCAAAGGACATAATGGTTCATAACCACAGGGTAACGGGCTATATGGACGAGTACACCGGGGTAACCCTCTACTTGCCTCGAAAGCTGTACTGGAAAAAGTGTACCTCTAAAAAGTGGAATTGTTATGTTTTATATATGTACATCTTGCAAAGGACTTAATAGTCAATAACTGCATAGTAACAGGGCTATATGAACCATTACACCGGGGTAGCCCTCTGCTCGTCTCGAAAGATGTACTGGGTTCTTTTAAGTGAGCCAATTATAGTCCTTATCCGAGAAGACTTGTTCCACCACCAGAACCATAGGCGAGCATGTCATTCGAACCATTGCCGATATTATGACTGTAGCTAGGTTGCAGTGCCCCTGTCTTCACCGCATGGCCATTCGACTCACCGATGTAGCATCCATAGGTGCTACCTATTCAATGAAAAATTTTTTCAGTTATAAATTTAAAAATCTACTCTCAGTTATCATAAAGATAGAGTGACAAGTGTACCATATTTCATATAATTAAGATATAGGACATCAACTGTACATTCATTTTCATGCACTTTCAGGCATAAGAGACAGCTACGTCAGACCGCCTTCCGTTGATTGCATAAGAACCAGACTTCACAATGTTTCAAAACATTTTAATCGTTATATAATTGTGAAATATTATTAAATTATGAAATATGAAAAAAAAAATTATTCTGTTGTCTTCATTTTTGAAAGCATACATAATGGATAGGCGTTTGTTGTCTCTTCCACATCATTTCAACAGAGGTTTCTGTCCGGGGTCATCTTAGCATTGTTTCCTGAAAAAGCATTTGAACATACTTTCTGTTTTTTTTTAAATAAATATTATGGTATAAACACTTGCGACAGTAAGTAAATTTCAAAGACAATTCAGGTAATTTAGATTTTTATAGAAAATTGACAGTGCAAGAATACACGGGTATTGATGGGATATGGGAGTTTATACATTGTATATAATATTTTGGTATTTGGTGGTTACAGGATGGCTAAAATACACACAATATAAACATTTGTGTGCCAATAGGCCTTAAGTCGAAGAAACTTTTGCTGATAAAAACATTATTTTTTATTATTTGATTATGCCTGTATCTTTATTATTGGTTTGAGAGAGTACAAAGCAGGAATAGTCCTACCCAATTGCCTGCACCAGACACCAAAAGAAAGCTGTCAAATTATCAAAGCCATAGGCCTAAACATGGGTGACCTCCATAACATAAAGCAATGAGGTCAATATGGTAGATCAAAAATAACTAAAGTTTAATTTTGTGGTACTCTTAGAGCCCAATCACACTTATTGGGCCCGTTTGAGTGAAAAACGCCAATCATATTCCGTTTAATTCACCGGATAATCATGCTGACCACTCGGGAAAGGGGGGAGGTGGTCGACCGTTCAAGCAAATTTTATCTTGCGTCAAACTGTGTAACAAAATTACTGCGAAAGTAAATTAAAGGTCATCAAATGCAAATGATGAACACCCATCCCATCAACCCATTCTGTGTTTACCTTCTACTATTGCTGTATTTCATTTATTACTTTCAGGCAATAAAAAATATAAAAAGACAAAGACACAAGCCTGAGGATAACTTAAAACAAACTTAATAATTACTATCGAGAGGCTCTCCAAACAAAAACAAGACAACAAACATACATTTAAAAGTAGTAAGCTTAAATATAGACAATGGTAAAATACTGAATAACAATATAATTTTTAGAAGCTGTCAACACTCTTTTAACGCAATAAAAGGGAAGCCAAAGATGGATTTTTTTTTTAAATGACAGCAAACGTTATTCATTAAATAAATGGTTATGAAGATAATACTTAAAATTATGATTATTGATTAGTAGGTAAATTGTTCCAAATGTACAAAAAAAAATTAAAACATGAAAACTTTAAATGGCAATCTGTTTTGGCATATAAGATTTTAAATCTGAAATCAACAGTATGTTTGATATTGATTTGAGGGAGAAGTGCAGGAATGACATTACATTGATTATGTATACATGATAATTAAATAATGAGAGATATTTTAACCTGGTGGCAATGTAAGTAGTTTTAAGCATAATTAGTCTCTTTATAATTAAAGGCATGATCATACACAAACAGGCTCGAGAAAAGTATCTCTGAACCTTTTCTAAAGCATTAATGTGATTATTTTGATATGGATAAAATGCAGGAACACCATATTCAACAATATGAGCGACAGGGTTAGAGCAACGAACTGTAAGTCAAATAATGCCAGATATTCTGCCAGCTTTTTTGGTATTCATAGAAAAATGTTCGTTTCAACTTAGATCATTTGAAATCATAAAACCTAAATATCTAAATTTATTTACATCATCAAGAGGTTCGTTATTAATGTGAAATGCTCAGTCCGTCTGCTCCGAGTAATATGCATGCTTCTGCATTTCTTAACATGTAGCGTCATACCATTTTTGGTGCTCCATTCAATAACATTATCAATATCAGACTGGAGAGCATAAGAGTCAGTTTCCGAGTCCATGTACCCCCAGCGTGGCACGTACGAATGAGATCCAAGCTCAATTTATAATCATCATAAATTGAGCATTAAAAATATTAATTAATATTAAGCATTATAAATTTTATAATGCTCTTTAAAATCTGTACATACAGTAGGCGAGTTGTATTCAAATTTCTCCAAATTTAGTGGTAAACCCATAAATCAAATGCGTACCGTTGCTATTAGCTACCATTATAGCTACTAAGATTTGATGTTATGCTGATAAATTTACTGAACAATCCAACTTTTATTTCATGAGGAGGTGAAGGAGAGCACAGCGACAGAGAGTACTAGCAAAAGCACTACCTGCTGCCAGACCTGGGTCTTAACTCAGGACTCAAAATAAAAACCGCAAATGGAATAGTCATTTTGAGTCGGCCATAGTTAATGCGGCCCTGGGCCGATATAATAAGTTTGAAAGGGCCATTAGTTCAAATTCAGGAAACAATAGTTTGTACACAGTTGCACTTACACAAAGAAAGGAAGACTAGCATATTCACCGACAACAATCCAATCAATGTAAGAACATGAGAAAATCACATACACTATCATATAGTTATTGTATAATGAGATAACTTCATGCTAGTACTGTTCATAATTGTTTTTTTTTTTTTTTTTTTTTTGTAAACATCCAGCGACCCTGCCAGATATTTTGATGACTATTTGGGTCGCGCATTACAACCCTTTGTTTTCAAGATGTTGGGAATATTTAAGTTTATTTAGTTGATCTAGAGAATTTTAAACTTTGTGTACCATATGTATTAATTTACTAACCATGATCTATATATTCATAGTTTTGGTATATTTTTAAATTTATATTACATTGTTTTTTACCTTGAATTACCTTTTACCTTGAATTTGTTGTTTGCTTTAATTATTCTGTATATTGCATTACAGAGTGTTAGAAACAGATCCTTTCCACTCAACTTGTTTACCTCTTCATATAGCAACCTTAGTTGAGCTACAGAAATCAAATGGTGAGGATTTATTCATGATTTCACTTGTTGATATCTGATTAGCATAGATAGTTCTTGTGATAGAATATACAATAATGACATAGCCATTTCATTATTACATTTTTATTGAGATAACGGTAACATCAGTTCAATCCAAATTAAAAAACTCCAGAGCATTGTTGGTAGTGTAAGTATAATCACGTACCCATTGTTCCATTTTCCTGCTCATGGCTTAAATTCCTTAATTGGAAAGCTGTCAATTTTATATGAATCGAGACGTGTAGTGCGGTATTCTACCAGCATCCCTGTCGATAATTTGGAATTGAACAAGAACACCTTTAATGGCCTTTTGCCAGCATCTTTTGCTGTCTATTTTAAATTTCAAATTGAAGAATCCAAAAATAAGACATTAGAGCTATTACTGCAGCAGTACTCAAGCTATGGTTCGCAACCCAAAATTAGGTCACCAGATAAAAGTTTGTTTAAAAATTGTAAGAAAAATTAAGTATTACTTTTATGAACCTAATACAAAACATTGTAAGAAATATTGAAATATAAAAATGATTTTGCAACAAAGCCAACACAATATATAGTTTTAACTGCAAAACAATTTTTAAATGATTTATTAGTATCAGTATTCCTGCCATGAAAAAATACTGTATGCCTAAAAGGTGCTTGCAATATGATTAATTTCAATGTGTAAGCCATAAATCTACAACCATTTACATTATATACTATATGACTTTTTTTTGTTGTCTCAGAACATAAATGTCAATTGATTTATTATTTTTCGAATTCTTTTAAAAAATTTCCTCTAAGCTTTATGCATTAGATCAATAAATTGACGCACAAGCTTATCATTAATACCTAATGAAAAGAAGGATCATTAGGTAATGTAACTATGACGTAAACCTTGTTCCAGCATCTAAACTAATTCCTCCACAGTTCCAGTTGTTTTGCTTCGGTTGAAATTCTAGAATTGAGAGGATTACTGAATGTTCATGTATAAAACATTTAAAATCCAGAGTAAATGTTTAACTACTTTTATTACATCGAAATAACTACTTTTACTACGGTATATATTAAGCATAATGCCTTCTATTATGAAGGTTGGCATTATAATTTATTTTGATTAAATGAAAAACAGATTACACATCATAACAATTTATAATTATTATATGGTGATATATCATGTGAACATGACAGGAATTACTAATGCCAATCTTTTATCACTTTCACAAAAGCCTTAATGCTCTTCATAAATTATAATTATTTTAAAAAAAACCACACACACACACACAATCGGAAGTCAATCAGTTATCAAGGCTTATAGAGCTCCAAATTCTACAGACAATGTTCTACTGTGCTGGGAATTATAAGGAATATATACAGTATAAGCCAAAATAGATCTGTGAAATGCATATTAATGGCGCCACTATCTAGCCCAAGAATCCCTTTTCTTGTGCTTTGTCACAATAAATTTCAAAGCCAGACACTTTAGGTGGGTTCTTTAACATGCACATGTGCCATAAATGCACACAGGACCAACGGCTTAAACATCTCATTCGAAAGACGGTGCACTATTGTAACTTGTATTTGAGCCCTCCAGCTGAAACACAAGGAGAGGCAGCGATGAGAATTGAAACGGTGACCTAGAGATCCACCACCAGATTAGCCGACTGAGCTAAGCAGCTCTCTTAGGAGTTCTGAACTAAGGGTCTGAGTAGATATTATAGTGACTTTATATATTGATGATGAGGCAGACTTGCCACATATCCCTTATTATTTTTTCTCATTCTAGGCAGCGCCACTAACGAGCAAGTTAATTTTGAGACAGAATAAGGGACTTGTAAAACACTGCATGCAGGTACCCAAATGCGAAAAGAATGACATAATCTTATATTCGATATTTGGATAAATGGGTGGACCAAAATAGAAGATTTCAACCAATCACTATGCTTACAATTTCACGTATCACATCTACTAGTAAGGCATAGCTAAAAAATAGTCTCCCTAATGAAACGGACCTAAAATATATATAATAGATCCTAGGAAGAGTGGACAATAGAGTTAAGCCTATGCTAGATGGCCCATATTACAAACATATAGCACAACTTTCCAAGAGGATGGCCTAGGCCTCTAGCCTATTATAGTAGTAGAGAGAGGCCTGGTGGGCCTACTTTTAAGTTCTTACTTAATAATACAGTACATTTTCAACGCATCTTCTACAGGACTCTAGGCTTAAATCTGTGTATCTTAGCGGTGAGCATTGTTATCAAGTTACTACTACGGTTAGTCCATTACGTAATTCAGCAGGCCAAGAACTAATTTTAACTAAATTTAAAAAATTAATTTAAGCTTAGCCGTTGAGGCACCGTACATTTTCAATTTGAAGATTAATTAATATGCAAGAGGTAAGTCAATCACATGACTTACACAGTCAGTCATGCATATCAGTCATTAAATCGTATGCATGAATGATCAGGCAGCATTTGCCCAGGCCCTAATCCAAAAAAAAAAAAAAATGAAATCAGGTATGGGAAGCCAAATAAATTAGGTATGGAGCGCAAAATGAGTGAGTAACCCAAAATTAGGGCCTGGAACCCACGCCAATGATGAGGAAGAAGACAACATAGACATTAGTGGCTATGGCGGTGGTAGTAACAAAGATGGCTGCAAAAAGACAACAATGAATTGTTTTCAGTGCAGTTGGTGTATCGTAGTAATGGATTTTAGACAGTGTAGAAATGTTATGCATGTATCATCAACCAAAGTTTCAAACCATTGTGTTTGACCAGTAAATAAATCATGAATCTAATCTTAAATCTTGAATAACATGAAAATAATGGAATGTGTAACAATTTCTGACTGGCCTTTGCATCATCATAGAGACAACACATAATAGAGTTTGATTGGTTGCCTGACTGTCAGTTCACGCATTGTGTGTCCACCTTAAAACACAAACCATGAAAAATGCACTTTTTCTATTAAAAATATTGGTTAATGAGATAGGTTGTGTGATGTTTAGTAATCACAAGATCTCTAAACTTTAGGAAAAAATATTATGAATCATCTTTACAAATCTTTCTTTTTTTCAGAATTATTTTATTTAGGTCACCGGTTAGTTGACCTCTACCCTTGTAAAGCTGTTGCCTGGTTCGCTGTTGGTTGCTACTATTTTTTAGTGGGAAAACAGGATGCAGCCCGGCGATTTTTAAGGTAAAGAAATAATAGTATAAATCTATTCAAAGTTATTCATTATCTTTTCAGAAATAATAAATTTTTATGGCCGTTTTTGCTTGATGAAGGTCAAAAAAGTTATTGTTGCCCGTGCACAAGCTTGAAGTGTTGACACCAACTTTCGCTAACGAGATGTTGCACCTCCTGCCCCTCTCCCAATTTCTCCACTGGCACTACCACTGTTGAAAGTGCCAATGATGATTTTTTTTTAACTTACTTATTGTTGAGAATGGTTCCTGATGGGGTGTATATTTGAGGGCGGTATTTATTTTTTGGTGTAAAATGGATACGTATATTGCTCAAATAAACGCCCCTTAATATGACTATAAATGTGGAACTACAACACATAACTACTCGCAAAATGTGTTATTGCTGATCTTCGAGACTTGTTGATCCCAACCAGGTTTAGAAAAATGTAATTTAATTGGAGTAGAACATTAGTTGAAGGTGTTGAAAATGATATCGCTTCCATTAGTTTTGTTTACCATCATTTGGGGTGGGGAATGAAAATCTAAATGCCTCAGGTCAGGGGGTGCTTATTCAAAATAGGGCATTTATTCAAATAAGTACCATTATCTGGTGTTTTATCCAATAAACATTTCTAGTGTTTTTAAGAAAGGGAACATTTAATAATTTCCCCAATGGTGTAAATGAGAATAATGTTGATATAGGCTTAGTTTTTTTACTTAAAACAAAGCTTAGCATATATTATAAAATTTTTTCTTAAAGTAAAGCCACCAGCTTGGATCACCTGTATGGTCCTGCATGGTTGGCCTTTGGACATTCATTTGCTATCCAAGGAGAACATGACCAAGCAATGGCTGCCTACTTTACAGCATCTCAGCTAATGAAAGGGTGAGTTTACATTATACTTATTATACTAGCTGATCATGTATGTATGTATGTAATTAGATTTATATAGCATAAAAACAACGGGGTCTTTATGCGCTGAGAGTTTTCATTGTGTTAGGTTTATGTAGCGCATAACACCGGGGTGTCATGCAGACCACTGGCTGCTTTATTTATAAAGATCATCGATAATATTACATACAATATTGTATTGTAAGCTGTAGTGAGAAGAAACTCTAAATAATGTATGATACCTCATTCTAATTAAATATTTTTATTATTATTATTTTTTTTTTTTTACCTTTAACTATATTATTAAACACTTTGAGAAACAGTAAAATACAATGCATGCCTTGTTCTAATGAATTAATAACACAATGAAAACTCAAGCATATCTTTGTAAACGTTTTTTTGCAATGATGCAAGACCTATGACAGGCCTACCGAACTGCATGAGAACAGGCTCGGAAAGAGCTATGCCAATATTTTTTTAATGAAATAAGTGCCGCCGCTCTGGAATATGCGCCGCACTTAAGCCTCCAAAAATTGTATAAGCACCGTGGCGCTTATTCGAGGATTTATGGTACCATACCAATATTGACACAAATTGCATGTCTGTATTTTGTTTGGAGTTTGTTTCATGCCAAGTTATATCAAACTCTACTATTTGTATGCTTGTAATAATATGCTTCTTTATAAAATTTAAAAAAAAATTAAGCTTGTCCATAAGGGGGTTATAAGACAAGCCAAACCAGTCACTCGTCGCAAAAATCGATTTTGAGTTATTACTACAGTGTTAGAAAGTAAAATAATAGCTATAAAATGGTTTAAAAATCATTCAAATCGGACATTTCCTTATGAAGTTACAAGCGTTTAACCACACAGCTGTTTAAAGAACAATATATGAGAAATTAGCCGTCAGGCATTTCTCATGCAGAAACTATCTTTAAATCCTTAAAAAGTATTGTTTTAACATTGAAAATGGGCTAAAATGACAGCATAGAATGATGTGTAGATATATAAAGGTTAGTTTATTGCAATAAAATAGATTTTTAAAAATTTGACATTTCAGCATGTTTTAGAGAAAATGGCCAAAACATGCTGAAATGTCAAATTTTTTAAAATAGATTTTTAAAAATTTGACATTTCAGCATGTTTTGGCCATTTTCTCTGAAACACGATTTGCGACGAGTGACTGGTTTGGCTTGTCTTTGCCACATATGTAAACAAATTAATGTAATATATTGTGCTTTTTTAAATTGACACAATTGACTTGTGCACAGTTTCAATGGCGATGTGAAGGTGACGGACATTAATCTTTGGTCTATGCGACTAGTATAGGAAAAGTATTTTCATTTTAAAGAAAACATTTTTTTTAATGGACAATTTATAGCATAATAGTAACTTGCTAAAGTAAGCAATTTAATAGCTGTCAACATCTTTAAGTAAATAACATACATTAAAGATTAATGTTTGGTTAAGCAAATCATTGCTGCTAACCTCTGGACTGATAGACATTCTCTCTCCATCATTCCCGAGCCAGGTTATCAGGCAGTTCAATGCAGACTTAATTTGTTATATTTCTCCAGATGTCTTAGTTAAGCCCAGATATTGTTCAACTTGTTTTAATCATTTTGATTCCTTTGCTGTCCCTTTAAATTATCATTTCATCTCTCCGTTATTTTACTCTGAAATAAACTACCATAATCAGTGGTAGACTCAAAAATTATAATTCTTGATAGAATCAAGTTTGTTGTATTTATTTATTAATAGTGCGATCTTTTCTTCCATTTCTGGTATAGTAATCACTATATTAATGTAATAAACCTAACCAGAACAACGAACTACCAACACAAGGGTCATTGGATTGAGCGCACATGTTTACGATGACGAACGAGAGTATTGGGGTCACCAAATTATTGACATCAGGAATGCTAGATATGATCACGAAATGCATGTAAACAATACAGTGCGGCGATCTAACAACCAGAAAGAAAACGATAGAAAGGTCCATAAAACATACAGAAGAGTTAAAATAACATTTTAAGTGGAAGAATGCCAGTGATTAAAATAATTTGGTTTTTTATTGAAGGTACCTGTAAATTCAGCTCGGCTCTATGCGCGATAAACCACGCTGCTGCACTGTCGGTTCGTGATAGGCCTGGCCGCTGTCAGCCTATCGGCGCTCAAATGGCAGGCGATAGCTAGGCCTAGGTATTGGAAACTGACATCCGATCTAGTTTACAAATTTTTCAATTTACGAACACCACTTGGTACCAAAGGGTACAAAAGATGGACATTTTACTGTATTCACATTTAAACAAAATTTAATTGATTACTTTAAAAGATAAACCCTTTGCTGTCTTGTATGCATTAATAATTATGTTTTTTTTATTTCAGAATTATCTTTAGATCAAGATTAGATAAGTGGAGGCCAATTATTAGCCACTAGTCATAAACAACTATGTGGCTATCTGGCCTCCTTAGTTTGTGTACCAAATTATCATTTAAAAAAATAAATTGCAACATTCATTTTTAAGGTTTACTTTATTGGTTATACCTCAAAGTTGCCTCTGTTTTGATGGGTTGGGTTGTATCTTCACTAAATCATAACTATAAAAGCTGTTAGTGCCAGTGTTTATTACTGTTGGTTTCTAAATTAATAAAAATAATATAAATAAAAATGTCTTTGTCTTTGTCATTGTGAAGTAACTTTTATTTGTTAAATTTTACTTGTTTTTTAATTTTACTATATCTTTTTCCATAATGATTGTATGATAAAATATGCTGTTTTAACTAATTTTTTATGTTTTTTGATATCTATATTTTTGTCATTGTTGTCTGTATAATTTTTATCTGCTTTAAAGACTTTTTATACTGTAAACGAACAATGTAATTTCCCTTTATTTTGGATGAATAAATTTACTTTGACTTAGGAAAAAATATACATCTTGACTTCTATTAAAAAATTTTTTTCAGTTATTTAAATATTATTTGAAATAAATACAAGAATTTTTTTTTTCATCCTAATTTACAATTTATAGCATAATTTGATAATTATATGTAGTGAGCAATTGAAATACACTTTATTAACTCCCACGTACACGGACATTCAATTTTTAAGTAAATACTTTGATGATTAAGGTTTGGTTTAGAAAGTTCCCTGATGAGTTAAGTAGATTTAGAGGAGACATTTTTTTTTTCTGCTAGCTAATCAGTTTTATGTAAAAAAAAAAAATAGTTTAAACAGAATCATACCATCTAAAGTGAGCAGTTAAAATTTATTAAGCCTGATTGACCATCTGAGTAAACTGTATTTTTCATTGTTTTTTCAAATACTTAGGTGTCATCTTCCTGTGCTGTACGTAGGCTTAGAGCAAGGCCTCACCAATAACCCCCAGCTAGCTGAGAAGTTCTTCAGCCAAGCCTTGTCCATCGCGCCTTCAGATCCCTTTGTCCTGCATGAGATGGGAGTGGTAGCGTACCAGAGCGGCAAGTAAGACATTCTGTTACCTTAAAGCTGGTTTTTACTTGACAGATTTTTCGCACAAACACCTGCGCAGTTTAATTTCTATGTGCTTCTCCATATTGTTCACTATTTCAGGAAAGTAGCAGAAACTACCACACCCTTATTGGGTGGGATTGACTAACCTATTTAATGTTTAGAGGTATACTAATAACACCAAAAATACATCTAAAAATACAATAAGTTTTAAAAATAATAGTAGTATAGATAGAGTGTAAATGTGTAAATAGTTGAAATATCTGGTGAATTTAAGGGTGGCGTAGAAAGAAATTGGAAGCACGCAACATACGGTACCAAGGCTTAGCACTTTGGGCTAACAACTCATTCCTCTACTTTCAGTAAAGAATACAAGACTCCTTTTACCTTTACCAGTTTATTATTTATTGTTGTGTTTATTAATGATTTTATACAAAAGGGTACCACACTTAATATTCAACCATACCTTGGAACTTGAAGTTGAGTGTTAAACCTCCAGTCCCCAAATCACCTTTTTCTATTCTATTAATAGACACAATGTAATGTTTTTGTTGAATTTCCATTCATAAAAACATATGCAAGATAATAAGTTAAATTTTATTTTCTTTAATGCATTAGTTGGTCAAAAGCTGAGAAATATTTCTTGGAAGCAATTGTTGAACTGCAGGGTCTTGGTGAAGGCGCTCTGTCGGAAAAATGGGAGCCAATCCTAAATAATCTAGGCCATGTGTGTCGTAAATTAGGGTGAGTTGCTATTTTAAGTTGCAGGTGCATGTTTTCATACCACATTTTGGTGACATGGCATTGTTGCTGTTCAAGGATCAATCTATTTATAAAAATATGCATGAAATTTGTTTGATTAACTACTAGTACCTAACATAGAAATGTGAGATTTACTGTAGGAGGAGAAGTGATGATTGTAAAGCTGGCATGTGTGTTGTAGAAATGAATTTTTGGACCGAGTAGATTTAACAATAGTTTGTCAAATTCTACCTTTATTCTATTTTATTGTTGCTGTTGTTTATTTAAATTGTTATTGATATTTTTGTTTTTTAGATGGATAGCATGATAGTGAATATTATGATAATAGTATACTATAATAATAACAGTTAATAATAGTAATACATTTTGTGTTATGATGATGGTAATTATCTTACATTACAATAAAATTTATGTAATTTTATTACATTGTTTTTCTGTTTTTGTAGAAAGTATGATGAAGCGCTTGGCTATCATCAACGTGCATTAGTGCTCTCTCCTCAGAATCCTTCAACCTTTGCATCAATTGGCTTCGTTTACTGCTTACAAGCAAATTTCAACACCGCTATCGACTATTTTCATAAGGTGAGGAACATCATAAGTACTTTAGAACATGCATAATTTGCGATGGGTACATTCTGCATGTTTATGTATTTTGTACTGACAACAATAATTTTAAAAGCGAAAGTCAATCATTCGTTTAAAGTAATCATAACATTGCATTCCACAGTGATCTACAACCCCAACTATCTAGAAGAATAAACATCCTCATATTTGGTTTGTTCAAAATTGTTTGGTTCCTCTATCTTGACAATTTGTTGGAACACCTGATGAGTAGTGGCGGAGTAGCCGAATCTAAGTCCTCAAGCCGATGTTAGACATTATTTTGTCACCTATATAGCTGGTTAGGCAGTGGCCTCAACTTGCTTGCAGTTGGAAAATCCTCCAAAACATCTTGTTTTCCATTTGAAAACCAAACCATAGTTTTTACCATTTTATTTATTTATTTTAAGTTTATTTTATACTGTTGTTTTATACTGAATATATTAATAAGTAAAAATATAAATATAGTAAATAAATGCAAATAAAATGTGTAAGTACCCTCACGTCCTCATTCAGTCTTGCAAGTTGTAATCCAATGGCAGTAATGCTGCCCTAATGTGGCTTGTTGCCATGTAACCACAACAACGAAGACAAAACCTCTTTTTATTATGCAGTCCTGAGACAGATTACTATGAACTATCTATTGTCAGTCTTTAAGCTAAGTTGACTGTATTTGTGACATAGATACTAGATTATTAATTATAAATCATAATTCATAAACCCCTTAGAAGAATAGATAATAGGCAACAATGGCAAATCATCCCTGTATAAACATTAGCTACTGTAACAAATTTCTTAGTAAAGGTAGCTTTACAGGAACACAAAAGGAAAATGCATAAATTGCAAATGCAGACAATAAGCATAACAATAAAGAAAGTACCCAATACTGAATAGTAAAATACAGAATATTGTAATTAATCCTTTTTTTAAATTTGTATACCTCATAATAATTAGTTTATTGAATATATTTTTTAAGCCTGTTCAGAGGAAACTCTAATTTGATTTAGGAGGTATCACTCTTGTTTACTTGTAAACAAAGTCAGGGTTGTAGCTGTAGAAAACTAGGGGTGGGTGCTATGTGATAACATTGGTAAACTCTAAATAATAAGAGTGGAATGGATTTTAAGAATGGAAAAGTTGGTTAAAATTTAGGGTGGGTGGAGGGCCATGAAATTAGCTTTAGACTGGGTGGCCCTGCCCACCATAACTACATCCCTGAATGGGGATAATGGAGTAATGAAAATATTAAATATTAAATGCACACTTACACAATTAAGAAATTGCATGGATTTGAAGTAGATATTTAAAAGTTGATGAAATCTGATTATGTTTTCGAATGATAAACAATTCTTAATGAATAATAAAAACTAAAATTTAAATTTTGTCTAAAAAATTTAAAACTAGCCTTTGGTTTATAGCCTTTATCGAAGAGGACTAGTTTGTGCCATTCGAACCAGTGCCAGTATTATTGCTGCATGTGGTGCTGCCCCTGCTTAAACTGCTTGGTCATTCAACTGTAATAATTTAGAAACTTATTTTCTGTAATTATAGTTTGAAATAATGTCAGAAATATTGACTCACAATGTCTTGTAATTTTTTTTTCTTTTTCTTATTTTTTCGTTGTAACTTGACATACTATCTTACGTCAAACTAATTGGTGAACCATATGGTTTTTAGATCTTTCATATATATATCGTATTTGAATGAATTTAATTAGATGAACTCAGTGTTTGTACCAGGTCATGAATGTACTTTGTAGGTTGAGTGATGATAAAGAGGCAGTAATGAAGATATAGTGATAGATTTTTTATATCTTGCGTCTTTGCATTGGTGTAAGCATTGTTAATGCTGCATCATTATTTAAATTCCAGGTTTACAAAAACACTTTACAAACATACTATTTTAATGTATTGCAGGCACTAGGATTAAGGCGTGATGATACTTTTTCCGTTACGATGCTAACTCATGTGATTGAGCAGAGTATATGTGACATGCCGGCTTGTGAAGGTAATCTTGTTGTTGTCTATGAAGTCGTACTTCACATCACAGATTCAATAAACTTATTGTCAGAATCCTTAACCTACTTTAGATTTTTAGTGTTCATGAAGATGACTTAAGACAGTAAATCTTTATGTGCCATTCGTTAAGTACACTATATTCAAACACTTTAATAGGATTACATTCGATTTGAAAAGGCAAAGTTTGTACAACTGTCAGATAGAATGAAACAGTCAGCACATTCAAACCATTAATAGATGATATTACACAATCAGATTTTATATTGTTAGGTCCAATATACAAAATAGTTATTTAAACAGTTAAAGGGTAAGATTGATTGAATTGCTACGGCATGAAGTAATTAGGCCTATTTACAGAAAAAAAAATAACAAGTAATAAAAAGCAGCACTCTGAGCTAATTTTAAAGATTTTGCTGGCAGTCGATGCCAACTTCATCAGGTGTGTGATGCCTGCTAAATAAGTTACATCTTTATAGCTCTTTCATACTTATTATTGTTTACACCAGCATGGCATCAACAACTCTCAGAAAAAGAAACAGACAAAATTGTATTAAAAGAAAGGAAAATATGTATTTGATCAGAAGTTGATTTTTTTTTTTTGTTATTTAAATCAATTATATTCAATATTACAGGTGCTGAGGATTTATGCGACTTACCAAACTTGTCATTAAAGGACACTTCAACACTATCTCAGGGCTCGTTAAAACTGGAGAGGACGCCCCAAAATGATTCCAGTTTGGATATTGAAATTGAAATGGACTTATAACATGCTGTTTAAGGGAATTACGTGAACTTCATGAACAATTATAAAAGCAAAAAAAGATTTTTTGACTTATAACAACCTATGCAACAGCACATGGTATTATGTAGTTGTAGAAATCCCTTAACTACATGTAGGGTACAACCACTCAGGAGTATAAATGGGTACCTGATAAGTTGTGAATGATTTGAAATGAAATTAGTATTGCTGATAACTATGAATACTCCCCCAGGGAACATAGGAGGTTGCAAGTTGTGTATCAACGATTCTGTATCCAATGACCAGGATAAAAGTGCCTTTGGCAGTTTTCTGGATATATGCACTATATAAATCCAATAAAATAAATACATATAATTTTTTTTTTTTAAACCCCACAGAGTTCTTAGAGTACCACCCCATGCAGGGTATTGAGTAAGGGTAACCTCTGAATTAACATCTCGATAAAATTTGATTGACAGATAAACCTACTAATTAGCGAGCGTCATTAAGTCACGTGATCAAAGTCACGTGATCAAAAACTTTTTCTCGGACATTTTAATTTCCTTAGACAGCTGGATGTCAACGCGAAACTATGTGAGCCTAGGCCTACATGTCTATGCTTGGTTATTAAATACCCAGATTTACACGAGCAGTGCGCATATGTGACTTGGCCTTTGCTGACAACGCGGTTGACTGAATGCAGCTTTTCCATCTTCCTTTGGGACCGAAATACAGAGGCTTTTACAACAATTTCCCCGCCTGTTCCCTGAAATAGATTAGCACTATGAATATATGATTCATTTGCATACCACCTACCCTGAATTCTTTTTTTTAAAGAAGGGTGATAGCAAAGAAAATGTTCGCCAACTCGGTAAGTCTAGCCGCCATTGTCTAAGGTTTTCGTGACTTTGTTGGGCGGGGCTTCGTGTCCTTGTCGACATGTCAATTGTATAGGGTGCCCCATGTATCTATCCCATATTGTCACAAAGGAGAATAATTGGAGAGATCCTACTGTTGGATATGGCAGTAGAAAAAACAAATATCTGTTGTTATTATAGTGGTTTACATATGAACCATGACCTCTCAAAACAAGTAATTAGCATAAGAATATGGCAGTATTGTATACTTCAGTACAGAGAAGCCATAATACTGTTGCTCATAACTTTGCCAATTAGTAAGTCGATTCCAGGTCCTATCATTTTAAAGCTTGTAATGTGGAGAATATGAATATATTAAAAAGTTGATTTTCTTGTTTTAGTCACTAATGCTGGTTTTGGCATGGCAAGCCCCATATGTGGCAAAGACAAGCCAAACCAGTCACTCGTCGCAAATCGTGTTTCACATATAATGGGCTGCCAAAACATGCTGGAATGTCAACATTTTTTAAATCTGTTATTGCACTGTACTAACCTTTATATATCTATACATCATGCTATGTTATAAATATATTCTCCATTTTCAGTGTTAAAATAACAATTTTTTAACGATTTGGTATAAATGGTTTCTGCCAGAAAATTGCCCAAAATCACGAAGGCTGATTTTTCAAATATTATTCTTTTAATAGCTGTATGTTTCAACTCCTTCATAATGAAATGTCGTATTTAAATGATTCTTTTACCATTTGACTGTTTAACCCTGTATAAATAACTTAATATCGATTTTTGCTAGGAGTGACTGGTTTGGCTTGTCTTTGCCACATACAATACATGAAAATAACATTAAAACTGATTATAAGCAAAAAGTGGTATGAAAGTGTGTATGTATGTTTTTGCAAGCACATTAAAACCATAAAATTTCCACCATAGGTCTGCTTGTGGCCTCGTCAAATCAAAAGTTCAGTTTGGCCTTTCAACCTGTTTTTATGCCCACCCCTGCTGTAGGGTTAGGGTTAGGCTGAATTAATTGGTAAGAATACCCACATCATACACTATAAGAGTGTTAACCTACTTGATGATAAAGATCACACAAAAATAAGATGAATTTAATCTGGTTCAAATCACCCAAGAGATTCCAAGTTCCCCAAAAGGGGATCCACACCCACCACCTCAACCCACCATTGTTTGGAGCAAATATAGAAAATATACAGCGTGATGCCCACAAATGGTACTGCCAAAATGCTCTTACAAAGCAGTGTTCTCTGACAAAATAATTGACATTATAAAAGTACAGTATTGTGCAAGTTTTTAACAGCAACAGACTAAAAAAAAAACGTTTCACTGATTTACAGACATTTTACTACAATAATCTTTAAATGCATTACCAGCCAATTTGAGGGCTCATGCATATTAATACAGAAAAGGTAAATAACTTACCTAAATATACAAATTAAGGAGTGAAAATATGGAATTGAATTTTTATTAGCTTAAGACTATTTTGTTTATTTTAGTCCCATTTCTAGTTTATGATTTACCACAAACCTATGTATCATAACTAGCTAGACTATTATTATTCTAGTCCCACTATTTTTTTTTATAATTTACCACAAACCTATCTATTATAACTGCTGTACTGTATCTACTATTTTTCTAATTCTATTGATTTGTATAAATATCAATGATGAATTGTGTGCAGGTGCACCGAGATATTGTGACTGATATATTAACCAGCAGTGACAAACTGTAAGCTTAGTAATTAATTATTATAGGAAATACCCTGAGTATACATGCTTCAGTATTTAATTATTATAGGAAATACCCTGAGTATACATGTTTTATAATGAATACAATGCCTAACTGGCAGGAATAATTTGCCACAAACACCCACCTCCGCCCCCACTACCCACCCCCCGATCCTATGCCGATGTTAAAGGGACAGCTTATATGTTCCTACCCTTAATGTTGGAGGGCTGGTACCTTTAAGATTTTTAATTTTTTCAATGGTTTTACCAATATAATTGTGTATGAGTACCAGAAATTATTCTTTTAGTTAGAGGATACCGGCTGATAAGCATATAATAAGCAATTTATACTTGGCCTATACTCAGTGATTTAAAAAAAATAAAAAAAAAACTTGAGAAAAGTAATAAATGAGTCATCCATGTCAGTTGGATTTTTTATTCATTTATAGTTTAAATTTAAATAACAAATAGTCGATTAATTAAAACAGAGAAGAGCAGACATGTGCTATTAGCATTACTGGTATCTAACGCATTAAGCAAACATCGGAATACGAGGTTCATTTAATTTGCTAATGCATTTTCATTTCTTAAATCAAACATGCTCAATTTACGATAGCATTTAAGTACCGTACATTAAATCCACGCTGCACCTGAATCTAATGTGTATTAGTAAAAAAAATAAGATTCACCTGTTGCCCGGAGCTACTACGTCATTAATTGTATTGAAATTTACTAATTTTGTTCTATAATCGACTTTTCCGGTAAAAATAATATCACTGCAACCACACAAATTACAATACCATTCACTTTTTATGGAGGTATATAGTATATTATTACCATAATGCCTCCATGCTCTTTCCCAGCTCTTCTTCATTTCTTTTTCTCGTTTTTATTGGAGACGCCTACAATGTCGGCTTGGGAGAAAGCAAAAAATAATAATATACAATAGTGACTGTCAATTTATACGGTTCACGCCGACACCAATGAGCAGCATGCACCAGTCGTCATTTTTAAATTGGGGGTTCAAGTTGGAATAAGTCCCTTCCGTGGTTCCATGAGCTTCCTTAACACATAAATTTTATTTTGCTGTGCATGTTGGTATAAACAAATGACCTTCGATCATAGTTAACTGCTACCAGGTGAATGATCTGCATGCAGAAGGGGAAATTACAAGGAACATAGTACTGGTATTAGACCTACACTTCCCTTATAGGTTTCTTTGTTCATTGTTTAAAAACATTAACCGGTCATTACTCCTATCGTTTATAAAGCACGGCAGCTTTACAGTTATTTTCTGTGTCATGAATGATGATTGGTATGGTGCATGCTGCTCATTGTAAAAATTGAAAGTCACTATTGTATATTATTATTTTTTGCTTTCTCCCAAGCCGACATTGTAGGCGTCTCCAATAAAAACGAGAAAACCAGAAATGAAGAAGAGCTGGGAAAGAGCATGAAGGTATTATAATATACTATATACCTCAATGAAAAGCGAAAATGGTATTGTATTTTGTGTGGTCGTAGTGATATTATTTTGCAATTGACTACCCAGCTAATGAACAATATTACGTTATAAAAACATTATAATAACGTTAAAGTTTGGTGTTAAAAAAACGTTATTTTGTAGAACCATAAGTAGGCTTACGTAATTATAACAACCTAATTTCACAACGTCATGGCGTTCTCGTTCCTGCATGTTGTGTGAACGTTATTTTGTGATATACTAACCAAACGTTCGTGAACGTTCTGTATGTGCACGTTATACTGTACCATGGAGGAAATATATTTCCTCCATGACTGTACCATGTTTATTAAATAGGTAGGGCAGGGCCTATGTATGGTAGGCCTACATTAAAATCTATGTAATATATTCAACGTAGAAATGATTGAACAATTATTCTTAAGAATTATTAGTTCGACAGAGGTTTGGGTTACTGAGTATATAGCCAAGCTGGAAAATATTGCGACCATATTATGTAAAGGTTTGAATATCAGAGCTTCAGCGCAATGGTAAGAACTCTCAATCAGCCTCGCTATTACCAGGGGTGTGCCAGCGGCGGCCGTGGCAGCCGCTCCCTCCCCCTTCCCCCGTCGGGGAGAAAAAATATGTAAATTATAATGGCTGTTACCACTATATCCATAGTTCGAGTCGTACTGACGTCGAGTTGGTTTTCATGTTTTAATTTTTATTTCTTAATATGATTTTATTTAGTTTTCATATCATGTGTTTTGTACTTTTTTATATGATTTTTAAAAAATTGTGTTTGGTAATTTCAATAATCCTTCTCGTGGAAAAATCCCTGTTCTGTTTTACAGACATAATAAGTAGTTTTTATTCTTGTTTTATTATTGTTGTTGATGTTGTTTTTGTTTATGGTCTTGTCATTGTTTTATTATTATTTTCGTCGTTGTTAGTATTACTTTTATTGTTATTGTCATAAT